TCTGCGCCCTCGCGGCGCCGTCCACCCCCCCCCCCCGATGCCTGCCCGCCGATGGTGACCACACCAGCAGACGCGACGACGAATCAATGAATAGGGTTATGTCGGGCGTGTCCCCCTACAGGGGGATTTTCGACGAAAAAAAAAAATCCCCGAAAATACCCCAAGAAGGTAAAAAATACAAAAAGAAATTGTCCCCAGGCAATTTTTGGACTAGTTTTTGACTATTTGTGGACTATTTTTTTTTTCTTGTCGAAAATCCCCCTGTAGGGGGACAGGCCCGACTTAAGAATAGGGGAACAAAGAGTGGCATAAAAAGAAAAACACGGAGGTCCGCGCGGATGTCTCGGATCGGCGCTGGGGCCCCCCGGCGGCGCCTCGGCGCCGCCCCTAGCGCGCTCCGCGCGCCAGGGAGGGGGGTCCAGCGCCGATCCGAGGAATCCGCGCGGACCTCCAAATTTCTATGTTTATGCAACTTTTTGTCTCCCTAGTGAAGGTGCTGAAGGTGTTGGCCAGAGTCATGCGTCATAGCTGCGAACTCCCGGAGCTGGCGTGGACGGAGACAGCGTTTGCTGCTCAGCCAATCCGCGCCACAAGAGGGCAATGTCGCGGGCACGTGAAAGTATCCGATGCTGCACCGGCCTCCTTCGTCGCGGGAGAAACGTCCAGAGCGAATAATGAGGCCCTAAGCATTGCAGCATTTAGCGAGCACAGTACAAAGACGCAGCCAGGCCCATGCTCACAAGCCACCTAGACTTCCGCGGTGCCACCTTTGCCCCGCCTTTCCTCCCCCCCTTCTCCTTCCCCCGCCACGCCTCCTCGTCACCCTTCGCATCATGTATCTCCTCATGTATCTTCTCATGCATCTTATCATCCTCTTCCTCCTCCTCACCATTCTCATGCATCCTGCCATCCTCCTCAAGTATCTCCTCCTCGTCCTCGCCCTCTTCGCCTCCCTCCTCCTCCTCCTCCTCCTCCTCCTCCTCCTCCTCATCCTCTTCCATGCCTTCCTCCTCCTCCTCCTCCTCTTCCATGCCTTCCTCCTCCTCCTCCTCCTCCTCCTCCTCCTCCTCCTCCTCCTCCATACCTTCCTTCCTCCTTCTCTTCCAAGGCCTCCTCCCCCCAAAAACACACCGCGGCACACAGCCACACACCGATCAGTCCACTCCCATGTGCTCCTCGACCTCCTGGATCCGGCGCTGCAGGCCCAGGATCTGCTGCTGCAGGGACGTCTTCTCCGCCTCCGGAGGGAGGAGCCCCAGGAAATGGGGGGCGACAGCGGGCACGCCTCTGGAGCGGACCGCCTCTGTCCCGCCGCGCGCCGCGGGGGGCCACCGGGAAGGAGCTGAGTGAGGAGGACGAGGAGGAGGGGGAGGATGAGAAGGCATACGCGTCCTCGTCTCCCTCAGCACCTACGTGATAGGCGTTCAGCATGCCTAGCAGTGGCCTGCCAAATCTTCGACCTGTTGACCGATGAGCAAGCGGAAAAACAAAGGGGCGGGCGACCAACAGCGTCAAGGTTATTACCAGCGTGAGGCTATCAACCAGCGGTGCGGCTGCCGCCACCTGCACCTGCTGATTTCTCATGGCTCCTCCTGCCCCAGCACCAGTGTCGGTGATCATGGCAGATGGGGACCTACACCACGGAATCGACCGACTGCGTCACAGGAGATTCCGGGGCTCTTACCACATTTTCTGCCTTAGGGGAACGAACAATAACACAAACATCAAAACTCGGAGGTCCGCGCGGATTCCTCGGATCGGCGCCATGGACCCCCCTTCATGGCGCGCGGAGCGCGCCAAGGGCGGCGCCAGAGGCGCCGCCAAGGGGGGTCCAGCGCGCATCCGAGAAATCCGCGCGGGCCTCCGAATTTTGTTTATGTCACTCTTCGTTCCCCTATCCCTGCCTGCCGCCGCTGGCCGCCTGGGGCGCCGGGGCTGACGCCGGGGCCGCCCGGGCCACCTCCTGCACAAACGACGTTGTCCATGCAGCCGCCGCCGGGGCCGCCGCCGGGGCCGCCGCCGGGGCCGCCGCCGAGGCCGTCCGGGACGCCAGCCAGAGGGCCGCCAGCCAGGGCCGCCCAGGGCTGCCCTGCACGGACGAATTTGTTCATGCAGGCGCCGCCAGGGCCGCCAAAGGGGAGCTTGGATTGTCTGCGGCGTACGTCAGAGGGAACCAGCGTCGGCCGCATCCCGAGCCGCAGCGTCTGCACTAACCTATACATTCCAGCAGTACGTAGACGGCCAGCCACAGCAGGAGCCTGTGCCGCGGCCACAGGAAAACACCAGACGCTATGTCCTACGTTACACTTCTTCAGCGGCCATCGGCGTGAAGGTGATCTCCAATGGAACATCGTACAGCACCAGGACCTCAAAGCGGTAGTCTTTAGCTTAGACATTACAGGTAATGAGCAGATGGGAGATGTGACCAAAGAAGGGACATTGACCTCTGGACTTTGCCGATCTGTGCTGGTCAGGTCACATGCCTGGTAGCAGGCCCGCCATGCGAGACCTGGAGCGCGGCCAGATGGCAGGGGGTGCAAACAGGCTTTGGGCTCACTGGCCATCGCTCGGACGTCCATTTCCTGAGTTTTTTTGGTTTCGTGCGTGGTTTTTTCGCGAAATGATCAAGGATGCTCCTCGATGGTCCTCGCCGAAGGAAAAATGCACACGTCCGAGCGATGCCAAGCTCAGGCCGCTCAGGACCCAGCAGCTGCCTCGGGGCATCCCAGCGGCCTCGGCCCGCGAACGCAAGCAGCTGGACCTCGGCAGCGCCCCCCAAGCGCACCACGGTCACGCTAGCCGCCATCTGCCTGGCCACCACCGACACCAGCGTCACCATGGAACATCCTGCACCACCGGTATGGGGACCGAGGTGCGCTTCGTCATGGCATATGCGCGAGACGCCGTGGATTCTCAGCCATGGCCATGCGAGCCTACACATCATTGATCAGTGCCAGTTTGGGGGCATAGCCATGACATCGACTGGCGTCATGACCGTCCACTTGGACGAGCTGGGTCACGGTCTTTGCCTCCTCCCAGGCTTTGGGCGCTGTCAGCATGCACCTCATGTTGAGCAGGGACCGAACGTCCAGGCATTCCTATAGTCATACCACGAAATGTTCCAAGAGCCCCAAAATGTTCGAACAACAAAAACAATGTTCTTAGAACATAAACCCGATGCGTTAAAGCAAGACAGTCCCAGCCAGAAATGTTCTAGGAACATTTCCTGGAAACCACAAAAGGTTCTTAGAACATTGTTTGGTATGGCTATAGGCACGCCGGGACGCTTCGCCACTGCTTGATCATGTGGTCGGACGTGGGCGACTTGAAGATGGCAGCTGGCACACCACGGAGCTCAAGACCTGCCCGCCCGCCCTCTGCCAGTGGGCAGCGCTGGGCGCGCCTTCCAGGCTGCGTTTGGGACTTCTCCGTGCCCCTGGGCTGAAGTCGGGCGTGTCCCCCTACAGGGGGATTTTCGACGAAAAATAAAACATACTTAAAAATACTCCCAAATGGTCCAAAGATACTGGAAAAACGTCCCCTGACTATTTTTTTACTACTTTTGAATATTCCTCCTGTAGAGGGACGAGCCCGACTTAACCCTGGGCCCAGGAATGGAATGCGCAAGGTCGGGCGCGACTGCGCCCTCCACCACGCCCTCGTGCTGCCGGAGTGGGGCCGTGAGGCCACCGAGGAGCCGCCGCGGGTGGCAAGGCAGCAGCAAACCCTGTCAGGGCTCAAGAGTCTCTCCCGCTCTGCTGTTCCCCAAGCAGTGCTTGCGATGAAGGGGTCCTAGCGGAAACTGAGAGACTTGGCGAACACTTCCCGCCGATGTTGGTGGCCGGCTGGGTTCCCGGGTTCCCTGTCCGGGGTTCCCGGGTTCCTGGTTATTGGTTCCGGGCCGACTTCGGTGGGTTCCGGGTTCCCGGGTTCCCGGTCGATCTCTTTATCGATCAAACCATCCATATCAGGCCTCCCATCCTCCTCTTGTCCCATGCTGGCCCACCATCCGTCAGCTCGCTCTCGTTGCTCTCGGCTGTCTCGCCACCTTGTCGCTCTCACCCGACCCTGGGCGCCCGTCCTGGGCGCTCCCGCCGCGCCGCGGCGAGTCGCGGGGGCCACGACGCGCGGACGCTCCGTCGGGCGCGACGTGCGGAAATGCAGGGCGAGGAGGAGGAGATGCTCAGCTCATGGGCCTGGACTGCATCGCATACTTCTTGCATGCCGACCGCGGTGCGGCGTGCGGGAGGGCGACGCTCCTCGAGCGTGTTTCGAAGTCGCCGCCCCCCGCCGCGGCTGGTCATCCCATGAGGAGACACCACGGACAACGTTAGGGTCGAGAGGCCTCACGCAGTCATCCAGCAGGAAGAGGAGAATGATGATGATGATGATGAGGAGGAGGAGGAGGAGGATGAGGAGTAGGAGGAGTAGGAGGAGGGGGGAGAAAAAGAACAAGAGGAACAGCAGCAACACGATCCATCGCCAGGATCCAAAGCGCGACGGAGCAACCACGAGCAGCAAAACGACGAAGAAGACGAAGAGCACGCGAGGGACGGTGATCATGGTGACGAGGGATAAGCATACAGTAACAGTCGTGAGACGAGTGTCCACAGCCAGACCAAGCAGACTCATACGTTTACTCAGAATACGACTGGCGCCATACAGGAAGAGGAGGAGCAGATGGCAGCAGGGGAGCGGAGGGCGGGCGGCAGCGGCAGGAACACTGAGGACACGAGGAGGTGAAGGAGGAGGAGGACGACGAGGGGGAGGACGACGAGGAGGAGGAAGAGGATGAGGAGCAGGAGGAGGAGGAACCAAGAGAAGGAGAAGGAGGAGGAGGAGGAGGAGGAGGAGGAGGAGGAGGAGCACAAAGAGGAACAGGAGGAGGAGGAGGAGGAGGAGGAGGAGAAGGAGCAGGAGGAGGAGCAGGAGGAGGAGGGGGGACCCTGGCTCTCCCCCTCGCCTGCCCCCACCCCCTGCTGGCTCTCCTACCACAGCTCGGCCTCAAGGCGGCCGCTCGGGACGACCCCGGCATCCCTGGAGCACCCTCGACGAGGCGATGGGAACCGACCCCCAACGGCGCAGAAAACTCCCCGGGTGACCGCCGACAGAAGAAAGCCTCTGGACTGAAGGGAGCGCGCCGCGGGAGCGCGTTTCTCCTCCTCCTCCTCCTCCTCCTCCTCCTCCTCTCCTCCTCCTCTCCTCCTCCCTCCTCCTCCCCTCCTCCTCCTCCTTCCTCCTCCTCCTCCTCCTCCTCCTCCTCCTCCTCCTCCTTCCTTCTTTTTCTCTCCTCCTTCTCCTCCTCCTCCTCCTTGCCCCAGATGTTCGCCGGGGGCCGCCGCCCAGGGCAAGGGGGGGTGGCAACTCCAGCAGCTCAGACCCTTGCGAAACAATCGCCAGGGACCTGTGAACGATGCCAGGGTCGGGGAGACGCAAGACTCGGATTCGGGGGACTCGGGCTGGCTTAACGGGGCCATTATAAAAATGACAAGTCCCAATCTGAAGCCTGGCACGAACTCTCGCTGCAAACGTCAAACGGAAACTATACCGGCAGAACCCATGACGCGCTCGCCCAAAAACATCGGCAAGCCCGAATACCAGGAGGGCGGGAAGAGGTCGCTCGAGGAGGGGCGGGCTGCGGTGCCAGGGGGGAAGGGGCGACAACGCCTGGGTTGGCCCGGCGCCTGAACAACTTCGATGCCGCGCCGCTTCAACGTCCGCTGTGCGGGCCCGACGCGGGGGCGGCGCGGCGGTCGCTGATGCTACTCGCCCTGCGCGCGATGAATTATTATGCCCCGCGTCGCTGGGCGGGGGGCCGGGGGCCCGCCGTCGCCGGGCCTCCCCCGCGTGCGCCGCCGAGCGCCAGAAATCGCGGCGCGGGGGGCGCGCGGCCGGGACCTCGGTCCGGCCGTCGGCCCCGTGAATCTCATTCGCCGGCCCAAGCGGGGCGCGCCCGGCCCATGGCGCCGCGGGTAGAGACACGAATTACCAGGCGCGATCGAAGCCTCTCCCCCTTCCACAGTTTCGTCTCGCTGGCATCGGCGCCTTGAGCTGATTGGCCAAGACGCCCGCGAGAGGGAACGGTTCGCAACCCTATCGAGACGATGACAGTCCCGCCCCCGCCCCGAGTCGCGGCGCGAAAGGATGCTTCGCCGACCTTTGTCTTGCCATCGATCGCCTCGGCAATCCGCGTCGCGCCGCGCCCGGCCCCCGCTGCTTCCCCGATCGCGGGCCAGAGCGCCCGCGCCCGGCCGAGCGCAGCGCGTCGCTATTACTCGGCGCTTTTGTTCCCGACCTGGGCGGCGGAAAACCGCGGGGGAGACGCGCGGCGGCCGACAGCGCCGCGGCCGCGCGAGAACAACGTTGGCGACGGGCCTAAACCCATCGCAATGATATGCGTCGACGCCGGGAGCGGGACTGGCGCCTTGCGCGATCGACCCCCCCGTTCTCTATCGTCCACCGCGCGGTTCTGCGCGCCCAGCTTCAAGCCCTTGCCCTTCGCCGCCGGCAGCGCTGCTTTCGCGCGCCCTCCACAGAGATGTGCCTCGAGCTCCGCTTCCAACAGTTGTCGGGCGACAAAATGCCGCCCTCACGGCGTTGATGCGTCGACGCCGTCGTGCTCGCGAAGGGGGGGGGGGGCGCGCTGGCGCCCTCGACCGCGATGCAATCGCGCTTGGAGCGGGGCGCCCGGCGCGCCGCAGAGACTGTCAGGATGGCGTCGTCCGTCATGGCCGGGGTGACGATGGCCTCCACTTGCTTTGGCCGTGCCTTTGATTGCCAGGCAAAAGCGTCGCGCGCGTGCCATTGTTTTGCCTTCCGCTTGTTCTTGCCGAACTTGCGGTCGAACGTAGGCGTGAAAGCCTTCCGCTGCGCACTCAGCGAATGCGCCTGGCCACCATCCCTGCTTAAAAGATTCCCCAGGCCCTTCCCCAAGACGACGCGCAAACGCCTTCTGGGCGACTCTGGCAGGTCGGCGAAGCACCCTCATGGCACCGCGACGATGCGCGAGGCCGAAATGAGATTGAGCCTCGGGAACACATGAAAGCTTCGAGCATGATGGCGCGCAACAGGGTGGGCCACTGCCGACCGCGCAGCTTAGAAGGAAACTATGAACCCCTAGCGCCGCTCCAAACGTAGCCCCTTGCAACGGCATCCGCTCCAGCAGTGGTAACCCATCGCAACGGCACTGGGCGAGTCCTAGTGCGGCGTCGACCGAAACTCCGATCCCCCCATGGATCGACCGCTCCTGCGGAACAGGTGGTTGTTCCTGTAAAGCCCTGCCACAGGAGGGGACCGTCCACCCACTACGGAAGAGTATTGTCTCATAACATCATCCTGCTGCTGCTGCTGCTCCTCCTCCTCCGCTCCTCCTCCTCCTCCTCCTCCTGCTCCTCCTCCTCCTCCTGCTCCTCCTGCTCCTCCTCCTCTTCCTCCTCCTCCTCCTCCTCGTATGCCTCATCGTCCTCGTTTTCCTCCTCCTCCTCCTCCTCCTCCTCCTCCTCCTCCTCACTCCACACATTCCTCTTCACTGCATGCACCCTTTGCCCTCTCCTGCTGGGGTCCCCTTGGGGAGCGGGATCGCTGGAGGCAGCTGGACACTCCCAATCCTACTTCGCGGGCGGTCGACGATTACCAAACTTTCCAATCCTCTCGGATAAAACTGAGAACGCCGATACGGAAGCTGGTACGAATGCGACGATTATGGATGTGACGATTACTGCCGCTGCAAATACTGATGCTGATACGAATACTGATGCGGAATCTAAAGCTACAGCTGCTACTGGTGCTGATACTGGTATTCGTACGGACGCGACGAGGCCACGAGATGCTACGACCCCAAACCGACTTCGGATCTGGCAGTCAACATACTGGACCCCTAAACGAAAACACAACCTTTACACACAACATTATTCCGAGCAGTTGAACATGCACCAGACAACGACCGGGGGGAATGACTGGATGCGCAGGATGGGGAACCTACGAACACTGAGTAGGGTGAGGGACAACATGAGAAGTAGAAGGGGAGGAGGAGGGAGCAGCGAGCGAACGAACGCCCATCCCGACCGTAGCGCAGATCGAAGAGGATTGCAGAGGGGGACGGTGAGGGTGTGGCCGAGGAGGATGCCTGGACATCCGACGCTGTGAAACGATCACGACCAGAGAGCGCGAAAGCCCGCCGAGCATCTGTCGCAGCGCCCCGATGCCAGGGGGAGGATCATGACGAGGAGCATGGATAACTGGCGGAGGAGGAGGAGGAGGAGGAGGAGGAGGAGGAGGACGAGGAGGGAGGAGGAGGAAGAGGAGCAAATAGGAGAAGGAGGAAGAGAGAGGTGGAAGTGCGAGGACGAGGAAAAGTCTTCGGTCTTCCCAGCCTTGAGCGTCGTGATCTGCTGCTGCAGGCGCTGGTTCTCAGCCTTCTGCTGCGTGAAATGGCGCTTGACCTCCTGGGATCCCCCCCGCTCCCCCTCCCGGCCGGGCGGCCAAGAGGACGCCACAGGGGACGGAGGGTGGGAGCGAGGGTCTCCGAACGACTTCTCTCCCCATCCTCCTTTCCTCGCCCTCCCCCTCCTGCTCCAGATCCTCCTGATCCTCCTGATCCTCCTGGTCCTCCTGATCCTCCTTGTCCTCCTTCTCCCCCTCCTCCTCCCCCGCCTCATGTTTCTATTCCCCTTCCCGCTGGCCGGTCCAGGGTGGCCCATGGGGGAGGAAGAACAAGGAGGACGAGGTGTGAGAACCAATAGGAAAGGATGGGGGGAGGAGGGACTCCGATGGGCGCGAGCGAAAATGGAAGGAGGACCAAGACAATAGGAGATTATGGGGGGGCTCTGGCTTGCTCTCGGGGGTTATGGGATCCTCTGAAGAGTTCGGAGCAGGAACAAACGGGGGAGGGGCATTGGGGCGAAAAAGGGGGGCGCAGTGGGAGGCAAGGGGGAGGGAAAGGAAAAGAAAGGAGGAGGGTGGAGGGGGAGAGGGAAGAGGAGGAAGTGGTGAGAAGACAGGAGGATGAGGCGAAGAAGAAAGGCAAAACAGGAGGCGGAGGAGCAACATCAGCATCAGGGTGACCAGAGAAAGCAGACGGATACTACCAAGGAGGATAACAGCAAGTAAGAAAGGAAGAGGCGTGGGGCCGAGGTGAAGGGCAACGAGGGGGGGAAGATGAGTGGGGAGGAAACGAAGGACGATTACCAGGAGAGGGACGAGAAGAGGGAATGGGCGGCGTAGGAAGATAAGGAGGGATGGCGAGGGATAACGCGTTGACACGGGGTGCGGGGCGATGAAGTGTATGATCGCAGGATAGAACGTGCATCGTTTAAGTATCCTTACACGTGCGTATATTTTAGAAGGAGAAAGGAGAGGAAAGAGAGTAACAGAGAGAGAGAGAGAGAGTGACAACATATACAGCGACAGAGAGAGAGAGAGAGAGAGAGAGACAAAAAAAACGAGCGAGACAGAGAGAACCCGATAGAGAAATGTAGTGGACGTGTGTATGGAGAAACCTGTACCACCACCTTTGATGCACGTGCGTACATGTACGCGTATGTGTATATATACACGTGTATATGTACATCAATGTATGTGCAGGCGGGGGTTAGAGCGGTAGCTCATCGGGAATAAAGGGGGGGCCTTCTTACTCCCTCTATTTGTTGGCCAAAGCTGTCGACAGAGCTTCGAATGCCTCGAGACAACGGCACCAGCATGTGCGAGCCCCAAGACTCACCCCGAAGCCACGGCAGGAATCACACCTCAAGTGCGCCACCGTCGTCCAACGACCGGGGTCAGAACGCCGTTCCAAGTGGGCCTCGAGAGGGAGCAGACTCGCACCAAGCTGTGCCCAGAAGCCCGAGAGAAGCTCTCGCGAGACTGAACGAGGCAGAAAGGCCAGGCAGAGAAGATGCCTGGGCGGCACGGCACAGGGCGGATGTGGGCGGGCCACAAAGGCTGCCATGCATTCTGATGCGGCCAACGTTCGCTCATTACCCCTTCGCCCACACATTGACCGTAAACGTGTCCATGTGTGTGTGCAGGCGGGGGTTAGAGCGGTAGCTCATCGGGAATAAAGCTCTCCACTCCAAGAACACCCGAAAAGCTCTCCAAAAAGCTCTCTAATGTGTTCCAAAATATGGCTGAAAGCCGCCCACAACCTCCCTGGAGAGTCGCACCTGGCTCAAATTCGAGGTTATTTGCTACAATACGCCCGCGCACGGGCAATCAAGGTATCTGTGAATGTCTGGAGCGAGGAACGGGTGGCAGGCTGAAACCGCATCTCGGCCAAAATTGCGGCCCCATCTTGAATATCAATCTTCGCTGTTCTCATTGAGCTCCAACGACCTCGAAGCATCACTTTAGGCAAGTCGCCTGAGAACAAATATTCGTGCGTAGCCCCGCCTCTACGCAAGCTATATGGGACGAGGCCGAGATGCGCGCAACCAATCTCTTGAAGGCCAGTGCGGAAAAGCGAATGAAAGGCACGAGGAGGCGAGGGCCACAGACGGCCATCGCGCTGCAGCTGCATATGGACGACCGCTCCTACGAGCGGGTCATCCAGCGTCACCGTCTCTCGTGCCCCAGGCTGTCTTAATCCAGGGCAACGACACCACGCCTCTGCCGCAAGGCTTGAGCTGGATGACGCCGCTGGAGAGGCCGAGAGCCTCGCCTGTCCGAAGGCAGAGGTGAAAGCCGGCGAGGATCGCCGCGGCGAAGGCGATCTCTCCGCGGCCCAGCGCCCAGCTTGCAAGCGCGCTGCGCACCAGCGGCGGCATCGGTGGCGCACGCTGCGGCAGCTCCAGGCGCCCCCAGACTGACAGCAATCTCCACGCGCCTGGGTACTGTCGGCGCGTCCTTAACAGGTGCTGTACTCCACTCAGTGTATCGTTAGCTTGACCTTTAGTGGCACCTTCGGCCCACAAGTATTCATGGTAGTCTTGTAATTTGGCATCCATGTCTTCCCAACTGAACGGCAACGGCAGGCTCATGGCGTTAAGGTAGTCAACAAACTGCTGGGCCGCCCGACGGTATCTGGCGAGAGTGGCAGCGCCGATCCGGGCATCCCGCAGCTTCCCCAGGCCAGCTCTGGTTGTGCGCCTGTCGGCGGGGCTAGATTGCTTCCCCATACATCAGACGCGACGGCGCGTCCGCGGGGTTCAGAGCAGATGAAGAGAAGCTGAACACCGCCCGCGCGCCCATCGCTAGCTCCTCGGCCGAGAAGCTGCGCACAACCTTGCTGAGCTGACTGTTGCTGGGGTGTTGCTTCGAGAGAGCACCGATGTTGACCATGTTGTCGAGGAGGTGCAGGAAGACTCGCTGCTGTCGGCCCAAAGCTTGAGCACACCATCGCATCATCGTCAGCGCTCCCTGCCACTCCAGCACGTAGATATGTTCAGGGAGATCCCACACCAGCTCTCGTGCCTCACGCCACTGCCAAAGACCTGAATCAATCAATTGCCGAGGGAAAACTTTGCTGAGCTCCTCAGAGCCTTTGTCACAACGAAGGTTCGCACCATCACCGCGGCACGTCATCGCAAGACTGGTCACCAGCCTACGCGAGACATCCGAAGCACACCAGGACGTAGCAGTTCGTCTGGTCAGCGCTGCGAGCAGCACATCTGCATGACATGTCCTGGACTGACTGCAGTGGCCAACCAGCTTGGCCGCGCGCAGGTTCCCCAGGTGGCGAAGCAGCTCGGGCAGGCCACTCGGCCATCCAGCAAGCAGCACCGCCGCGTCCTCGCGGGAGTGGCTCGGGCTCACTGCGAACGGGTCTTCGGAACAGGGCGGGGCGAGGCTCCAGCGCCGCGAGCCGCGCACGGCGTAGACGAGGCTCCCGCCCGCCGCCAGCTCGCCGAAGACCTCCGAGCCGACCTTCACACGGCTGCGCCGCAGCGAGGTGACGTCGCCACCCCACAGCTTGCGCCCGCCAACCCAGGCCCGAGCGCTCTCGCGCAGCTCGGAGAGCGGCAGCACCGCCACCAGCAGCCCAGCAGCGGCAGCCCAGTGCGCCAGCGGGATCGCCACCACCACGCACTGGAACGAGTTGCCGACCAGCGAACGCCTCAATCCCTCGTACTTGACGGGCGCGGCCTCCGCCTCAATGCTGGTCCGTCCGTCAGGCCAATGAATGCACCACTTGTCATGGAACTGGCAGGGCGGCAGCCACTCCTCCAGCGGCGGACGCTCCACCTCCAGCGTCACGCGGTACAGGCGGCCAGAGGCCCCGTCCTCGGTCAGCACCATCACGGTCTTGGCCTCGTACGACGGCAGGAAGTTCCAGGACGGGCAGGAGAGACGAGGACGGCCCACCCAGCCAACGTCACCAGCCTCAACCTCCAAGGGGATCCCCTCGAACAACCTGCAGAGGTAAGGGGCGTCGGACTCTGCCACTAATGCGATATCCTTGCCAAGGAAGTCAAAGCTCACCTCGGGCATGGCGGCGCGCAAACCTCGGATGATCCTCCCCACGTGATCGACCCGCGAGGCGCGCAAGTCCGACGCGCCGTGGCGCTCGACGTTCAAGCCCGCGCAGATCTGGCACGCGAAGCCGTTGATGACCACCGCGCGGGCGATACGGCCGTGTGGCCGCAGTAGGCCAGCCAAGGCAGCACGGTCAGCAGATGTAGCATCCCTGAGGTGCGTGCCAGGACAAGCGCGCCGCGCAACGCGGGCCGCCTGCGGGTCAACCTCAAACGACAGGTGAACCACTGGTACCAGGCCCAGTATCTCGAGGGCTCCGCGCCCGCCGCCGACGCCATCAAAGACGGTGATCAGGCCGGTCTCCGCCTCGCCGGCGGCGATCGCAGGCGGCTGGCATCTGCCCGCGACGCCACGCCCACGCTCGGTAAGCGCCGTGCTGCACGCCACGGCACCAGCGACCTCCGACGCGCCCGAGGCCGTCACCAGGTGGCCGACCTCGAGCCACATGTCGACCACGCAGCGCCCCGACAAGGCCAGGCACATCAGCCAGTCCTCGATCAAGCTCACGCTGGAGTGGCCTCCACAGCCCGGGTCGTTGAGCCACTTCAAAGTGTAAGCGAAGCTCGCGGCCAGCGGGCGGCGGACGCAGTGCCCGCGACCCCAGCGCCCGGGAAGAATACGTTCCAGTTGCATGCTGGCCCGCCTCTGGCCCAGAACCCAGGGCATGAAGCTGGCCTTCGCAGCGATGTATCCCGACGGCGCCCGACGGACATCTTCGACGCCATCAACGAGCTCGCCCAGCGTGGCAGCGCGCACCACGCGGTGTACGCCCTTGCCTGGGGGCCTAGGCGACCTTGTGGCCTCGTAGCAGGCACGAGCGTCAGACAGCAGCTCGGGGACCGCCCCGCGCAGCTTGTCGGCCTCAGATTTGTCAACGGCCTCGGTGATCTCTAAGTTGTCCATCATCATCCAGGCAGGCGGGCGGGGCTTCTCTGTATCAAGCAGCGGGCGGCGGCGCCGAGTAATCTCCCAGCCAGGCCACAGGCCGCGAGGCACCGCGCCGCTGCGACGCAGTGCGTTGCGATGACGATGAGTCGCAACACCCACCGCGCTGAACCAGCCCATGCCGATCACGCGCAGGCAGATGTAGACAGCGCCGCCGCCCTTGAGACCCAGCAGGCGCGACGGCGCTGGCGGCCCGATCCCCGTGCACGGCCGCCGCGGCGGCAATGCGCGGAAGGCGTAGAAGAACAAGAAGGCCTTCACGTCGGCGCCGCCCCACACCAGGTCCTCAGAGTCCGTCGACACCAGGACGTTCAGCTGGCTCATCGCTGGCATCTCGGGCGTGCCGCCACTGATGCACTCTTGGCAGGCGTTCGACGGGATCCGATCGGAGATGAGCCTGAGCACGGGCCACGGCACCCCGTCCTGGCACTCGACAGGGGCTTCATCGGCCCGCGCCAAAGTCGGCGCCGCACGGCCCAGCGCAGGCGGCAGCAGCACCAGCCCAGAATCCAGCAACGAGTCGCGCACGAAGCCCGTCGCGACCTCGGCAGTCCCAGTCGAGGCCGCAACCCCAGGCGGCGGCAAGCTGGCCAGCGCCTGCTCCCAGGCCATCTCATGAGGGGTGGTGCTCTCGGCGCCGCCGTAGCCGTTCTCGTAGTCCTTCAGCCAGTCCTCCCAGTTGAGCTCTGCAGGCAAGCTGGCCTCGACGCGCGTCGACGGGTACAGGGGGCGCCTCAGGGCAGCCCAGGCTGCCCGCTGAGCAGCGCTCGGGCGCCTGCGGCAGAGGCGCGCGAACTTCGGCGAGCAGAAACCTGCCCCCCCGGTGAACGCCAGCACCGTGACAACCAGCCTGCCGTCGGGCCTCTCCCAGTTCAAGTCGCTAGGGTCAACGCCGTCGCACACGACGTCGGTCTTCACGATGGTAGGGTGCGGTAACGGCAGCAAGTCCCGTTGCCGCCGACCCCCCATGGTGGCCATGTGCTCGCGCAGCTAAGGTTCGAGGGAGTCACGGAAGTAGCGACCGAACGAACCGGGGAGATCCTTGCCGAGGTTGAGAAGGGTCGGGCCCATGTCATAAGGCTCACGAAGCAAGTCACCAGCAGCCCCGGTAAGCCCTCTCCTGTCCCCCAGTGGATCGCGTCGAGAAGAGTTCCCTTCAGCAGCGGCAGGCGGCAACTCCAGCGGGGTCGCAGCGCAGTGGTCGGATAGCGAGCGCGACGGCGAGGCCCCAGGCGGTCCGCACGGCGCAGCAGCCTGCAATGAAGCGGCTGCTGCGTCCCGGGCGTCATCAGCAAGGGCATCGTCGCCACGGGCTTTCACCGCGCCGCCGCGGGGGGGCCAGTCCCGCGGCCGCCAGGCGGGCGGGGCCGCGAGCCGTTGGCCCTCCCTGCGTTGCGCCCCCTCCCGCCGCGGCGTCTCGGGCGACCGCGTCCTGCTCCCAGGGCAGCTGACGCCGCCGCCGCTGGCTCGTCCTGCCTGAAGGTGCGGCGCTCGGGCCCCCCCGCTAGCACAACTCGGCGCGGGTGAGGGCTGTCTCCCCGTGGGGTGCGCTCCGTCTGGGGAGACGGAGTCCGCGCGCGGGGGCCTGAGGGCGCCGCGGCGGGCGCCTCCTCGGCCCGAGGCGCTGCTGCCGGCGACTCTGGAGCCTGGGCGGGGCTGCCCCCTCGGAGCGGGAAGTGGCGGAAACGCCCGCGACCTCGACCCTTGCCCTTGCCGCGCGAGAGCTCCTGGGCTGGATGGGGCGCGGCTCGAGAGGGGGAGCGCGGCCGCTGGTCCTCCCGCGCCCCCCCTTCGGGTCGCCCGCGCCCCTGGCCGCGGCCGAGCGCCCCGATGGCCCCGCGGCTCTTGGCCTCCTCCAAGCGCCTCCTCAGCAGCGCCGAGCGCCGCGCTAGATCCTGCTCGTCCATCGACGCCAGCGACGGCCTCACGTCCGGGACGATCTTGAGCTCGCTGGCAACCTGCCAGCCCGCGTCCGACAGCGAGAGCTCCAGAGCCTTGAACCTCTGCATCAGCACGTCGCTCAGCTGCGGCAAGGAGCCGCTCTCCAACAGGTCCAGCGCCGTCGCCAAGGTCTGGAGCTCCCGCACCGTGTTGACGCGCAGCTGCGACACGGGGTGGTGGCCGAACACGATGGCCTGCAAATACCCAACCACCTTGGGCCTCGTCTCGGAACCGTCCGCCCCCTCCCGCAGGCCCATGACGCGCGCGATGTTCTGCATCGCCTCGTCGTAGAGGGCGCCAGGCTGTCTCTCCGCCAGCAGCCGTACGCTGCCGCCGCCAGAGGGGGCGTTTCGAAAACGCGGCTCGCCTTCGCCATCACTGCGGCTGCCAGACTCACTCCGAGCTCGACGCCTGCCGCGGCCCGTCACCCCGCGGCTGCCACCGCCCCCGACCGCAAGCGCGCGGGCAGCTGCTGCCGCCGCCAGGCGTTCGGCGGCGGCTCCGCCAGGGATGGGGGAGGGACCGCCTCGACCAGCTCCAGCGCCACGGCCGCCGAAGACACTCGGGCGCACCCAGGGCCCCACCAGCCCATGGGCCGAGCGCAGCCGCAGCCACTCCACGTGCAGGACGGCGCGGCCCGCCTGCGCTGGCTCACCACACCGCCCAGGCCCCTGCGCGCAGAGATGCAGCAGGCCAGCAGGGCCGCCGCCCCGCGGAGGGAAGGTGACGTCAAAGCGCATCGCCTCGGCGGCCAAAGACGCCCCTCTGAACTGCACGCTGAGATACTGACCTCCAGCGCCTGGTACACCGACCTCATCGGTCTCGAACAGCGCGGTCCCACTGATCGCCCCCGTCGCGTCGTGGGTCGGCAGCTCCACGGCCAGGCCCTGGCTCCAGTTGGCCCCGATGAGGGTAGAGGCCTGCGTCCAGGCACCGTCGACGAGCCCGTCAAGCTGCAGCCCCGCCGCCGGGACGACCGCGCCTCCCAACGCGCCGAGGGCAGCGCCCGGCCCCGCGGGCCCAGCGCCAGGCGGCGCGCCCGCGCCTCCAGCACCGCCGGCGCCTGCAGCGGCCAGCGCCCCGACCAGCGCCGCTCCAGCGCCGCCACCGCCGCCGCCAGCCGCGCCGTCGCCAGGCGCCCCGAGGGCAGGGGGGGGGCCGCCCGCGGCGCCCACGCCGACGGCTCCAGGCAGTCCAGGGAAGCCGCCGAGCCCCGGCATCACGGGCGCCCCAGCAGCGCCACCGCCAGCCCCCCCGCCAGCAGCACCTCCAGCTGCAGGCGCGAGGCCGCCTCCGAGGCCGACGGGCACCGCTGCCGGTTCAGCAGCTGCGCCAACGCGCCCGCGAGCGCCACGCCCTCCGCCGCGGCCAGCGCCTCGCCCGCGGGCGGCAGCGAGAGGCGCAGGACGGACCTTCGCCTTTGCTTTGCCTTTGGCCTTGGCCTTGGCCTTGCCTTTGGCCTTAGGCGGCATCAGGCGTCAAGGTCGACAGCGCTGTGATCTGCGCCGCCAGCAGCCGCACCTGCTCGACGAGCAGCGCCCGCTCCTGCGGCGCCAGCCGTGCCTCTCGCGCCCCCTGGCGCGCCAGTGCGAGGAGGTAGCACAGTTCGCACACCTCCAGCAACGTCCCGCCCTCCGCGAGGGCCAGACTCTCGCCCTCGGCGAGGCGGCCAGCGCACCAGCCGCAGATGCGAGGCCGCTGGGCCTGCGGGGCGGTGGAGAGCGCGGTGGCGCAAGCAGGGAGCATCCCGGGCCTCCCAGGCCCTGAGCCACAAAGGCTGCCATGCATTCTGATGCGGCCAACGTTCGCTCATTACCCCATTCGCCCACACATTGACCGTAAACGTGTTCATATATTCACACGTGCAAACATGAGGTCGCTATGCATGGAACCGCCGATCGATGTGCTGGCGTACATGTCAACCATAACACAGTAAATGTGTAATACATAGACAGATATATTAGACATAAATATAACGCATAATTGGACGAAATGGAGGAGCAATAACACTATGTTATGGTGGTGGAGCGCGGAGACGGAATGTGGAGAATGAGGATGAAGAGGGAGAAGGAGGAATAGTGCCGGAAAGGCAGGAGGAGGAGGAAGAGGAGGAGGTAGACGATGAGCAGGAGAAGTGGACAACTGACGAAGAGTCCCGTACAGGCCTTCGGCTATGTTATCAAGGCTGACCGCGACAGGCAGGATTAGGAAGGGACGAGGAGGAACAGCACCAGGATGAGCAGGAGAGAGGACCGGTAGGGTGATGCAGGGGGTGGGGGGAGGAAGTAGGAGGATGAGAAGTAAGGTAAGGACTAGGCCGAGACAGAGGAATCGGCGGGAGAGGAGCAGGACGAGCGGAAGACGAGGAGGGATCGGATGGGATGGGATTGGACTTAACGGTCGCCCGAACCGCCGCCTTGCCGCCGCGGCGGGGGGGGGGGGGGCTTTGCCAGGGTAAGCACCCTCGTCCCTCTCCGCACCGGCGGGGGGGGGAGGGGGCTTTGCCCGGGCCTCCTCCTGTTCCCCCCCCTCTCCCTCCCCTCTGCCGCCCCCCACTTGAGCGACGAAAAGGACAAGGGTCTTACGCGAGATGGCTTAGCAACCTGACGCGGTGGCTTACGCGGGCGGCCAGCGCTGCACGCCACATTGGAGACGAGGGCGCTCACGCGCGACCCTACGCGGGCAGCTTACGCGCTGATGTCGGCGCAGCTGGACCCACTTCTGTTCCTCGCCCGCCCGCCGCCGCCCGCCTCTCGCCTCCGCCCCGCCCTGGCTGCCTCCGGGGCGCCCCTGCTGGGTGTGCAACCCGCCTGCTCCGTGGTGCCGGCCCGCAGGCCCTCCGTGCGCTCGCAACGGGGTGGGCCTGCCGCAAGGCGCCCCCCTGTCTCCACGCAGTCCAAATACGCAATCCTAGTCCCCTCCTATCTCCATTCTCTGTTCCCACGTCTCCTCACCGCTCCTCCTCCGCATCATCCGAAGGCGTCGGTCGCATCCTCTTGTATCCGCTGTACGTCGGAGACCATCGTCTTCTTCAGCTCCATGAGCTGCGCCTGGTAGTGCTCCTCCATGGGAGGACCCAGGTCAATGAGCCACAAGCACGAACACGCATGGTAAGAATGAAAGACGGACGCCTGATCCCGAAATCAAGAGATGAAAACACGAAATCCGGACCAGTGCATGTGCCAGCCGGGAGGCTCAACGCACGACAATGAAAAATCACGAAGGGCCGATGCCAGTTACAAAACCACGTTAGCAAGGAACCTGGCACCTGCACAGACGACAATCATCGATCCTACAATATATATATATATATATATACATTATATATATATGTATATATATATATATATATATATATTATATATAAAGAAAAAAGACCTGCAAGAAGCAACCGACCCAGGGATCCATCCTGCTAAGTACAAGCTAGACACCAACTCAACTTCAACATAGAGGAGCCCACAGACACGCACAATTCGCCGGCCCAACGGGCCAGAGGCGTGCTAAGATCTCCGGTAACTACTTAACAATGTTTCTAGTTCGCGCGCGGGGCGGCCCCTGGGGGCCCCCGGACGAAAAGTACCCCGGCCGATCCCCGGCCGGGTCCCGGGCGATCCCCAGGGGGGAATCTATTTTTTGCCACCCCTCACGAGGATCGTGGCCTCCGAGGGGGTGGCTGCAATCGACTACCCCCCCTCCCGCCCCAAGGAGCCCCCAAGAGCCCCCCAAGAGGCCCCAGGGGAGCCCAAGACGCCGCCAAAGAGCCCCAAGACGCTCCCAAGAAGCCCCCAAGAGGCCCCCAAGACGGCCCCAAGAGGCCCCCAATAGCGCTCCAGGGCCGGCGGAATGAGCGAAGCGATTAAATAATCAACAAATTCATGCGCAGAACAAGAATGGCAATCAAACAAACAACTGAAGGGACACGTCCCACTCCAAACCACTCCTTCTCCTCGCACTGGAAAAACCTGCCGGATCACTCGCAAACTTTGAAACATTAAGACGTACCCAGCACTTACCAAACCTCCCCCAACGAAGGAAGGCCCTCTCAGACACATCCGGAGATCTTCGAACATACCCACTTCCTGGCGGCGCGCACAAGGATGTGGTCCGAAAGGGGCGGTCTTCGAAGAAGGCGGGGTGTTTCTTAGACTCGGGAGCTTTTTTTACAAGGGTCCGAAGGACTGTACGAAGGCTTCGAAGCAGCCGAGATGGCTTCCAAGAACACTCGCCGCACAAGACCTCGGCCACCAACACTTCTGGGCTCAAAAGATATGTTTATTGGTTTGGGAGTTTGGTACGTTCGAATTCCATGGTTTTTCAGCTGCCCGTGGGATTGCCATGTTTGATCTGTCTATCCTCGATGTTGGTCTTGTCGTTGCGAAGGCTCTCGATCTCCTGCCTCTGGGCGGCCAGCTCCTCATTCTGCATCGAGATGAAGTCCTCGAGAGATGCGAGCTTTCCCTTGAGTCCAGTCGGAGCGCTGGCCATCATATCTGCCATGGCTGCTGGTGTTGATGCCAGGGGAAGCAGATCAGTCCAAGGCGGGTGGCTGCGGGGAAACTGTGGGTCAGCCTGATGCTTGAGCAGACAATGACGGCCATGAGCTGTAGCAAAACTTGCAACGAATCTACGACATACGACATGGTAAACCACGAAAGTGTAGTGTCTCTGGAAGGAGCTCCAAAACTGTTCAACAAGTTCAGATTGTGCCAGTACGTCTTGTGATTGGGAGAAGTTAGATACGTAGACGAAGGCATCAAACTTTCTGCGGCGATGACAACGAGAGCACGAACAGGAACACGACAAGTACAACACTGAAAAGAAGGTCGAGGAAGAGAATGGGAACATGAAGGGACGACGATGAGGAGAACAGCGGCGCCTGCGCACACAGGAGAGAACAGAAGGGGATGAAACGTGCACAGAAGCGGTGCTCGCGAGAGTGTGTGTGTGTGTGCGTGGATGCGACAACTACCTTCGCTTATCTTCTGTCTCTGCACTGCGTGTATTTGTTCTGCTCTGGGATTGGCAACCACTGCCACGCTTCCGTCCGTGGTCCGTGGCTGTGTCCTCGGCTGTCCGTGGCTGTGTCCTCGGCAGTAAGACCTTACTGCCGAGCCGGTGGATTATACCTATAATTTATTTATACGACCACGCTTCGGGTGATAAGGAGGTTGTGGGGGGGGGAGAGGGGGGAACCAACATCTGCCTCAATCGATCTCACTCAACGGGACACCACCAGACACCGCGGGACACCACGGGACAATTGATCGACCTCACTCATCGGGACACCACGGGCCACCACGGGCCACCACGGGACACCGCGGGACACCTCTCGATCTAACTATTGCTCTCACTATCGATCTCACTATCGATCTCACTCAACGGGACACCACGGGACACCTCAGGACACCACATCGATCTCACTATCGATCTCAACATCGATCTTACTATCGGTGTCCCGTGGTGTCCCAAAAAGTGAGACCGATAGTGAGATCAACAAATGTCCCGTGGTGTTCCGTTGAGTGAGATAGATGGTGTGATCGATAGTGAGATCGATACTGAGATCGATGTGGTGCCCCGAGGTGATCCGTGGTGTCCCAAAACATGAAATCGATAGTGAGATCGATAGGGAGATCGACAGGTGTCCCGTGGTGTCCCGTTGAGTGAGATCGATGGTGAGATCGATTGTGAGATCGATAGTGAGATCGATGTGGTGTCCCGAGGTGTCCCGTGGTGTCCCGTGTCCTATGGTGCCCCGCTGAGTGAGATCGATAGTGAGATCGAAAGTGAGACGGATAGTGAGATCGAGAGGTGTCCCGCGGTGTCCCGTGGTGTCCCGTTGATGGAGATCGATAAAAAGATCGATAGTGAGATAAACAAATGTCCCGTGGTGTCCCGTGGTGTCCCGTGGTGCCCCGTTGAGTGAGATCGATAGTAAGATCGATTGAGTCAAATGTTGTTTCCCCCCCTCTCCCGCCCCCACACCCTCCTTCTCCCCCGAAGGGTGGTCGTATAGGTGTGTGTATATATATAGAGAGAGAGAGAGAGAGAGAGAGAGAGAGAAAGAAAGATGCGTGTGTGTGAATGTTTGTGTGTGAGCGTGTGCGGGCCCCCGCTAGAATGCGGCCGTGCTCCCCGTTCACTCGCCTGGGCCCCCACGTCGCCACCGCCCTCAGGCGACTCGCTGGCCCTACCTGCATGGTCGGCTCTTCGGGTTCCCGCCGGCGTGCGCTCATGCCCGCGTTTCTACGCTGTCGGTTCGTCGGTGTACTGCCGTCCCCGTTTTCGGACGCTGCTTCAGCTTTCCCACTCTCTACCCAGGCCCAGATGCTTGATGGGCGAGGCCCACAATACTCCCGCGGCTGAGGGCCTGGCCGCGCGCGTCAGTCCCGTGCTGCTTGCTCGACTTACTCCGCCCAGTCGCTGCGCGTTAGGCCGCGACCGCCAAAAAGTGTGTGTGTGTGTGTGTGCGTGTGTGTGTGTGAATGTGAATGTGAATGTGAATGTGAATGTGTGTGTGTGTGCGTGTGCGTGTGTGTGTGTGTGTTTGTGTGTGCCGCCTCGTTTCCCTGGCGCCTCATTTGACTGCACCGTTCGCCTTTGCTGCATGGAGGCCCCGCTTGGACAGTACCACGGCCGCGAGCTCTATGCGGGCAGCCCCGCGCGATGGTAAAATTGCTCAGCGCGCATCCCGCCGTTGTTTACGTTGGCCGCTGGCTGCCGTCATCAGCGCGTCGGGAAGGTTGCCCGCTGACTGGTGTCATCGGCGCGTCGGGGGAGACGTTGTGCGCGTGTGTGCCGTACAAGCCACTGCCCGCGTGCCTCCCGCCGCTGCGGAGGACACGCGGTGATGGCCCGAAGCTGGTCGGGCGACCCGCCGCGCACGGGGCGCCCTGGCCACGCCCACTCCCAGCTCCCGTGGCCCGCAGGGTCCGGCCCCCCGTGGCCCGCGGGGTCCGGCCCCCCGCGCTCGGAAGAGTGATGGCGGAGGACTGCGGCAGGGCAATGGAACACGATCGAGAGGGTGGCCTCGATCTGGGACCGGTGGCCAGATCGAGCGAGGCAGGTGAGCGACGGTCAAGAGGGGTCGTACGCGAGATGACCTAATCAGCGACCTCCCGCGGCGTCTTGCGCGGGCCGCCCGCGCGGCGCGTCACGTTGGAAACGAGGGCGCCCACGCGCGGCCAAACGCGGGCAGCTCGCGCGCCAATGTCGGCGCAGACGACCCCGTTTTTTTGAGTCGCGCAGGTGAGCGTTTTTTATTCGGCGTTTCGGCATCGGGCGGAAAAGTGGGGAGGGAGGGGTGTCTGGATCCGGACTTCTGCGTAGCGCGACTGTTTGCGACAGTGCGTCCTATGGGGGAGGGACTCCACCTGCTCGAAACAGGCGCCAAAAACAGCCAAGATCCACTCCATGTGGGGGGGGGAGAAGGGGTTGCGGGGCCCGCGCCGATCGAAAAAACACTGAATAACAAAAACGATCACCAAATGGTTCCAGTGACCCTGGGAGCACTCCCGCTGCCCCAGGGCCGCCCCGGGCACACGGGCCGCTGAGGGCTCGGCTGGCCCTCCCCTGGTCGCTGGGGGAAGGCCGTCTGCGGGGGTGGCACATCACCACACCCGGCTGGCGACGCGGCCTGGGGTGCCGCGCGCAAGCCTGCTGGACCAGAAGGCCCTCGGATCCGGCGAACGAGCTCCCGCAACCGAGCCCCACGACGAGCGTTGGACTAGCTCCTCCTCCTCCTCCTCCTCCTCCTCCTCCTCCTCCTCCTCCTCCTCTTCCTTCTCTTCCTCCTCCTCCTCCTCTTCCTCCGCGGTCTGGCAGGTAGGAGCAGGACGGATCATGACAGACTGATGGCGGAGGGTGAGGACGACGAGAAAGGGGAGAACTCAGGAGGAGAGAGATGAAGCACATGGATGGTGCCGGGGGGAGGGGGAGGTGCGGACGTGGGGTGAGGAAGGGGAAGGGGTGGGTCGGGCATGTCCCCTACAGGCGGTTTTCGAAGAGAAATAAGATAATCAAACAAATTCCAACATGGCCAACTATAGTCGGAAAATGGTCCCCAGACTATAATTGGACTATTTTTGAGTAGTCCTCCTGTAGAGGCACATGCCCGACCTAAGGGAAGGGATGGGCTGGGATGAGACTTCGATGGTCGGTCGAACCGCCGCCTTGCCGCCGCGGCGGCTCCCGGTCTACTCATAGCTCGAGGCCGAAGAAGTGCACGAACACGTCGCACCCGCACGCGAGGGAAGGCGACGGACCCGAGTACAGTGGAGGCCAGTCTTGTGGACCACAAGAAACCCAACCCTGAGACCCCAGGACGTCCATGGACTTTTGGTGTGGGAACGTCACGCTGTCCATCGCAGAACCCTCGACACCCAAGAAACCAAGGGCACCCTGGTGGCAAGAAGGGTGTTTCTTGGCGTGAGTCTCCACGTGGGTCAACACTGTACTGGCACTCGCTGGCGATGAGGAACGGGAGAGGTGGAGGAGAAGAAGGCAGAAGGAGGCTCCCCATCCTCGTGCTTCCTCCTCTTCTGGCTCGCCCGGAGGCCCCTCCACCTCCTCCTATTCCTCCTCCTCCTCCTCCTCCTCCTCCTACTACTACTACTTCTCCTCCTCCTCCTCCTCCTCCTCCTCCTCCTCCTCCTCCTCCTCATTGTCCTCGTTTCCCTCATCCTGCCTCCTCATCCTTCGCGCCCCGTCCCCCTCTTCCTCCTGCTGCCCCCTCCTCCCTCCTCTTCCATCCTCCCCCTCTTGGTCTCCCCTCCGCTCCTCCTCCCCCTCCCCCTCCCCCTTCCCCCTTCCCCCTGCCCCTCACCATTCTCATCTTCATCCCCCTTTCTCCCCCTCCCCCTCCGCCGTCCGAACCCCACCCGTCCCCTTCCCCTCCGCACTGCCCCTCCCCCGACAGTTGGGCCGTCGACACCGGGACGTTGATCGTTGATCGGACTTCAAGCACGGGGCTCGAAGCGTTCTGGAAAGGTGCAGGAATAAAGACTCAACGCAGTAGTGTGAGCAGATTAGGCGTCAGGCCCGTGCGGATCAGGAACTGTAAAGACGAGTATAAAAGCAGGCTGTTGCTCCGACTCGTCCTCCTCCTCCTGGCGCTCGTCCGCCTCGACCTGCTGCTGGTGCTGCTGCTGGCGCTCCGCGGGCACAAGCTGTACAGCTGCTGCGCTCGCGTGAGAGAACAAGTGCGCTGCAAAGGCTCGGCTAGGCCGCCATGGCCTACAAGCTGAATCTGGGTGAGCGCAGCAGAGGGCCGATGTTGGTGGCGCTGGTCCTGCTGCTCCTGCGCCTCCTGCTCGTGCTCATTCATCCTGCTGCTGGTCCTCCTCCGCCTTTCCTCCTCCTCCTCCTCCTCCTCCTCCTCCTCCTCCTCCTCCCCGCCCGCACGAGCTCTGGGAGGAGTGGGCCCCCGGAGCCTCAGAGGCCCCCCCGCGAGAGGAGCCCAATCACCCCCCTCAGCTTGCAGCGTCGCCTCCATGTAGCTATGCAGCCGCCGGGGCCCCAGCAGGAGGGAGGAGGAGGAGGAGGAGGATGAGGAGGAGGAGACGGAGGAGGAGGAGGAGGAGGAGGAGGAGGATGAGGAGGAGACGGAGGAGGAGGAGGAGGAGGAGGAGGAGGAGGAGGAGGGGGAGGA